ATAACCATCTGCTCACTAGTGACTGACTTCAAGAGAAACTCCTGGAGTTCTATTGAGAAGCCGTTACCAGTGGAGTTCAACCGTGTCTGTCGTGAGATGATTTCACCTCACTGACGACAATGGTGTACGGTGGCGCGACTTCGTGGATTGGTTGAAGTTACACATTAACACCGTTGAATGCCGGCTCAGTGGTCTAGTTGGTTAAGTGCCTGGTGTGAGACTGATAGGTCCGGGGTTCGAATCTCGCTGGGTGCGAGATCGTGGATGCGCACTGCTGAGGAGTCCCATACTAAGATGAAACGATCGTCCAGTGCTTCCAGGTTTTCCATGGTGTTCTACCTTCAATTGACTCATGATTTCAACCTGTGAAATTTCCTAAAACCTCCACAAACCCCTTCAGATATTTTTTATCGTGAACTGAAGTCGAAATATATATTTCATGACCAGGAAAACTTGCTTTATTTAATATATATATATATATATATATATATATATATATATATATATATATATATATATATATATATATATATATATATAATTCAGTTGCAAATCATAACATTCGTAATATCCTATCATGTTTATGAACCATGTAATTAATCAAAACATTTATAGATTGATATGTGTACACTGTGTGCTGGTCAATAATCATGCGATTATAACAGATTTGATTTGACCTAGTAAGTGATTATTGAAAGAAGTAGATAGATGAGGTCACATCTAATCATTTGCTCACGAAATCAAATTCATTCAGTCTACCATGAAGGATCATTTAAATGTTACACAGGATATCTGCTTTCAGTTCTCGTGGTAGTGTGTTCTTTGGTCTTCCTGTTTTCCGTTTTCCTTCTGGATTCCGAGCTAAGGCTTGCCTCGTGGTACAGTTTGATAATTTCCTTATTGTATATCCTATCCACATCCAACATCTTTTCCGATTGTCCTACTCTTCTGGAAGCTGGTTTGTCCTCTCTCACAATAGACTGTTGTTGGTGTTATCCGGCCAAAAAACATTGAGTATCTTGTGTAGACAATTGTTTATAAGTACTTGTACACTTTTAATGATGGTTTTGATAGTTCTCCAAGTTTCACCCCGTATAGTGGAACTGTCTTGACGTTTGTATTGAAGATTGTGACTTTGATACTCGTTAACAGTTGTTTTGAGTGCCATTTGTTCTTCAACTGGTAATTGCTTAGCTTTTCTATAAATAGTGATATAGAAATTAGTTACTCTTTATCATACATTCATTATTCTATTAAATAATTCCTTTTGATTACATTTCAATTTGTTTTAATGGTTAGGTAAAATAATTGGTCAATAAATTTATCACTTTTCTATAACCATTTACAAAAAATTATTTGATAAATGGCGTTTATCATTTGACGAACTTTGTTTTAGTGCTACTACATATTTCATTGGATAATCAACGTTGTTGTTAAGTGTAGATTATTCCAAAAACAGAGTTCATGTTCAAATTCATTTGATTTCAAAAGGTTTTGGTTCATACAACTTAAACTGGAGAGAAATGTATGAAACTTTCAAGGTTATGAAATCATTTGATAGTTCAAATGTATATAATAGGGTTAAGTTTCAATCTGTATAGATGCGTACAGGAAAGTATTGACTACAATGCTTGATGTAGCAGTATTTGATAACAAGAAAATGTGAAAAAGCAACTGAAACAGGTTTCCTCCACGTGGAAAATATTTTTCTATTTTTATAACTTATAATATCTGATTATTATCAGTATAGGGGATATGTGGAGATTGTAGTATTTTCACAGTTGGGTTCACGAGTCAATCTAAGCTAAATTACCATTGAAAACCTGGAAGAATGTGAAGTTTTGCTATTTGTATTCTTTACAAGGTTAATAAACTTGTAAAGTTATGTATTCAGCTGTGATTGATATGTAAAACTGATTTTTAAGTCGTTGTACCACTGGAAACTTAACTGTTATCACAAATACTTTGATTATTGTGTTGATATATTCTAATTTCTAATGAACTATGCATCTATTTGTATTTAGTTAATGTGAATAAAGCTTATTTCAAAAGTGAAATGTTCCACAGTACTACGTGTGTATGTTCTAAAAGTCAGTAATATTGATATAGTCTATTTGATATCGTCTTTCTGATAATCTCTAGTTTATTTTTATCCTATATATTGATGTCTATTTCAAGCTTTATTGGCAAACAGAGAGATAAAAGATTAACATAAAGTAAAGGTTGTGTAAAATTTTCTAGTTGGTGTCAAAGACTCCAACTGATCGGCTGAGAAGATTCAATCAAATGAAAATAATTTGTAAGTCACCTCATAGCACAAGCATCTGGCTATCTGGACTTAGTAACAAAATTGGCAACTCAATGAGCGTTTAAAGCAAAAGTGTTAGGTTCGCTTTCACTGTGATTATCAACACTAGGATGCTAATATATTCAGCTAACATGTCCCAAATAAGACGAAATGAGTGTCCCGGATTCCACTGCTAGACACTAAGCAACTCTAATCAATAGTACAAAATGATTGTACATGTATTCAGTATTCATATATTTGATGTATTTTACTGATGATTATTAGTGATAACGTTAGAAGTATACAATAGTTTATTGATTTTCACCTATAAGTCTCCGTGTCTTCATTTATGTAATGTAGGTTCTTGATTTTCTTCAATTCTAGACATTCTTATAATTAGTACAGTTAATTTTATTTTAGTTCCTTCATGTTTTAATTTGTTCATTGTTCTTTTCTTTTAATGACCCAATTAGTCAGTTTGTTTATATCGATTAATTCCAGAGCAAAATAATTAGCGATACCCTGTACCGTTTTTTTTAAAATAATAATATTAACTATCTTTCTATTCGCTTTTTAGGTCATTTCCAGCATTCAGTGCATCTTTTTAACCTGTTTGATAAAATGTGAATAAATTGTAATTATTTAATAAGTGTACACAAATTATAAAACATGCATTTTTAATATTAATGATGAAAGTATTGTTTAGTATTCTCATATATATATATATATATATATATATATATATATATATATATATATATATATATATATATATATATATATATATATATATATATATACTGTCATCAAATAGTCTGAAGGTATATATATGAAATAGTTTGTACAAATTAACAGATTATCGATAACTTTCGTGTCCCTTTCGATTGTTACTACTATTGATCTGTTAGTAAGTATGTATCTTCGTTATGATAAAACACTTTATGATATTGACTGACAAACCTTTCGAAACTATTTTAATAAAATAATGAATACCCTCTTATTGTTATTATTAATCTTTCTACTAATATCTAATTGAATATGTCGATAAAAATCAGGTATACCATAACGGTCATTATCGTTATTCATAAACTATTGAGAAAAATAATTATTCTGATAAAATCAATTGATTGATTGTTAAACGTTTCAGGGGTGGTAGGTGTTATTTTTTTATTCCATGGTAGTATTCACTATGTTCAGTATTATGTGTTTGATGATGATATGAAGAAAAAATTATCTGGCTAAAATATACACGATAGCAACAGTATTCCGTTCTTTGTATCCAGTTAACTTGTAAATATTCAGCATTGTATAGCCGCCACTCATCGATAGCAGGCTTAAAAAGGTTTGACTTGAATTTAGCTGTAAGTAATTCACCTCACTGTAAACCTTTTTATGAAAAGCTTGCGAGTATATTTGGTTTACATCCATGATAAGGGCGGACTGCTTGAGCATCTGGGCTACCTGTTCCTGCCATCTAGATATTTCAACAAGTTATCTATTTTTGCTTGTTTTAATACATAATTATGTCTAATAATCGCATGACCTATTCTGCTGCGTTTCTGAAAATTGTACAACCTTTCGTTGTCAAAGTTACAAAAAACTCAATAAGAGCCAATGTGGTTGCTGGCAATATACAGCGAAAAGAATGCACATTATTCAGATGTTCATTTATTGAACTGCTAACATCTAACTGGCGATCACTCAATATTTATCGCCAGGACCGACCAAGAAGAAAGAAACGGAAACTTGTTGAAATACTTTACGCTGAGAATTCTATATTGTACCAAAAATATAATATTGAATAAAGCTGATGATAATAATAAAAATAGTGATTGTTCATTTAAAACAATTCTTAAATAAAAAACTTTGTTGTGATATTTAAACTATTGCAAAATCGGTGATTTATGAGTTTGACCAGGTTACTATATATATATACTATTCTGCACTGCATTTTGATAATTCCCCTTTGGCATTTTTGCTTGCTGAGTAACTTACCATGATATTTTGTCACAAGGTTTTTTGGAGATAGATCTTGGTTAGTAGTTGAATTCAGGGCAGACATCTCGTCCTAATCCATACTAACCTGGACGAGTCAGGAATTATCTGGATTTAATAACCCAGTGGACACTTGCAGCAAAACGTAATGCGTTCGAGTCTTAATATGAACGTTAGTACTGCAATACATTTATATCCAGTTAACGAATCTCACACAGAACGAAATGTGGATTCTGGATTTCACTACTAAGTACAACCGATCTATTCTGAAAACTATTTCTGTCGAATAACCTTTTTATTCATAGTTCAAACTTTTCAACCTTTTTCAAACTGAACCATTGATTTTTTTGCATGACCTACTATTGTTGTACATGATTTTGAAATTGCTAATTTTCGTGTTTTAACATTTATGTACTGAAGTTTTTAACTATTAATACTGTCGTTATAAATAATCAAGTTCAGTTGATTAAAAATTACACCATAAAACCTTATTCAGTTTCTTGTTATGATAGTCGTTGTTGCAAAATAGATGGATTTTTTTGAAATATAAATGTTGATAACAGGAGCAAATGTCTTGACAACTGCTTTGTGCGTTCATTTTGAACTGCTCTATTATCAGTCAATAATTTAGTATTTTTGTTCGCCAAAATCAGTTTGATAGATCACTAATTTAACATAACAACGGTATTTGTTCTTGACTTGTTTTCTGTGAATTCAGCCTATCTCAGAGAAGCACTAGAAGAATATATGGGAATGTTGAATGTTGTCAAATTGTTCGTACCAAACGACGTGAAGGATTGATCAGAGCAAGAATGATTGGTGCAGAACACAGTACTGGGAAAGTGCTCGTGTTTCTAGATTCGCATATTGAATGTACCACAGGTGAGCTTGGTAATACATTAACATTACCTGATTGTACGAGTGTTTCATAATATTGTATCTTTTAGAGAATGTAAATATGAATTTTTTGAGTGTAAACATATATTTTTATAACGAATAAAGGTTAAGAGGTCGAATGTGCTTGACTTGATGTCGACAGGTTTAACAACAATACAAAAGAACTATTGACTTTTGCTATTTTTATCACTACCTACGTTCTTCATCACTAAACTAGTTTATATGTAGTGAACAATTTTCTTGATGATACTCAAGTAAGATTATTTCCAAACAGTTTAGATCATATTTTATATGATTTAATTGACTCCTCATATTCTTTTCGATAATATCCGTTAACTGTTAATTTAATGAATTATTTTTCACGGTTCTTTGTCTATTCTTTTGTTGAGATACGTATGTGGATTTGTAAACACTACATAAATGTAATTGGAAAGCATGTATGACATTTTGCGTAGACGTTTTCTTCTGTTGGTTGTAATTATTCATCCCCTTCATTGTATATAATTCGATAGATAATTCTTATTTAGAAATTATATTGTATTTTTTTGTTATTCGGTGATATATATATATATATATATATATATATATATACATTTCTGTATATTGTACCATATAGATTTTACGTCATATGAATATGGAATCTGTGGTTATTTACACTTCAACATTAAGACAATATTCACCATTCAGTTGATGTAGTATAACTAAACACAGTACAATGTTGTCTGCACTGACATATAAGTTGTAAGTTGAACGTGACAAGAATACACTGTTGAAATACAGCTAATCAATGACAACCGGAAATCGTGTAATAATGATAAGTACCCTTCAAATATGTGCTTCACTGATCTTAAACCATCGGTCGCAATGTACAAGTGACGTTTTGTATAAAATTGTGCATTTTATTGTTGATTAGTTGTTTTTCATCTAAAAACGTACATCGTTCAACGTCATTAAATATTTAACCGTTCATACTTGTCTTTGTTTATTTCCTAGGTTGGCTTGAACCACTTTTAGATCGTATTGCTTACAATTCGTCAATTGTTGTTGTCCCTGTAATATCGACTATAAGTGATAAAACGTTGAAGTATAATTTTCTTAAGGCGGCTCATGTTCAAGTTGGTGGATTTGATTGGAGTTTAACATTCCGATGGCACGAACAAACTGAACGTGACAAAAATCGACCTGGTGCACCGTATTCACCTGTTAGGTAATTAATACAGACTAGATTTTGTGATCTAACTAAATTTAATCAAGATTACGTAATATGAATAATAGCAGTAAAATTAATAAGTTAGTAGCGGATTATAGTGTGAGTTTAATAAGTTGATTAGAATGTTTTGTTACAGTAAATAAAGGTAATAGAGGTGGAAAATTAAATGAAGTTATGTAGGGAAGAATTATGGGTAAAATCATGAGGATATTTCGCACCTCTACTACCTTTAATTATTGTAGAGAAACTTCTTAATCATCTTACTGCATTCACGCAGTAATTCGTTTGCGTTGGCGCACGAGACCGAAGGTCCTAGATCCGAGTCCCGCATGCGAGATCGTGGAAGCGCACTGTTGGGGGGTCCCATAATAAGACAAAATGGCCATTCAGTGTTTCCAAGTTTTCAATGGTGGTCTAGCTTAGATATTAAGAGTTATATTGTTATTATTCATATTACGTAATGTAGTATTATAATCTTTCGATAGCATCATCATGTTCATTCCCTGTTCACATGTCCTCATGGAGCTAGTACTTCAACATAAAAACATTTCATGTAAATTTCATCTGTTCAAAAACTGCTATTATCAATATTTTTATGTTTTTACTTAAGTTTTCTTCGTAGAGATTGTTTCTCTCTTTTTGAAATAGAATGACAACCTGTTAGTATTCGAATGTATTCAACAAAAATGCAGTTAGACTGGTTTATTTTCTGCATTTTAGGCATTTTTAATGCAACCAGTTAATGATAATTGTACAGTATAGAGTTGATTTGATCGTTAAAGATTATATATGTTTTTGATAATTTTGATTATTACCTCGAACAAGTCCAGTCAAGTTTGCTAGACGAAACTTTGGAATCATTTTAATTTCAACCGCTGAGATTATGTGAAATATAATTTCCACATATAATGATAATTATTGTTATTGAAATTACAGACAATGGTCTTTATTTCGACGCGCGGATTCTCATGTCTAAGTAATCTTGGACGTAACAGACACCCATTGCTTCCAGGTTTTCAGTGGTGATCTGGCTAAGATCAGGATTTGATTTAAAACTATGGAACTTCTGTCATCTTGATATATCCTTTATATTATTAAAAAACTGTTTCTGTCTGAAATACTTCACCACACAAAAAACTTCCTGAGTGTTTTGAACTAGTAAGGAACCCCACTTTTTCGCTTGTCATCAATTATAATCAGTGATATCTCTTTTATTCCTCTGATATATGCTTTTTATCTATCAAACTACAATGGTTAAATCCTGACATGACTACAATCCATTAAATCCAAAGTTTTTATACCTTTAAGTAGATTAAATTTCCAGAATTAATTCTGGACAGTTTTAAATAGTAAAAGTGAAAAAACACATGTCATAAACATTTGATTTTTTTTACTTGCATTTTTCATCGAATGATTTTCTCACTCCATCTTATTATGTTTTCTATAATTAGTTGTTTGTCAGATTTAACAACTTTCAGGTAATTAAAGAACGTTAATTGAATAATTCCTCAATAGACTTAAAAAAAAACAAGACAGAACTTATGACTTCGAGATGAGTACTTCAATCAATGCTTCGTAACTAGATCATTATTTATAAAATTTAATGAATTAGCTACATATTGCATTGTTTTTTACTTGTCCTTATAATGATTACTGTAAAAGTATTAGTCAATGATTATTTAATATTTCGATTGATTAAGTAATTATTCCTATTATGCAATTGTTTTTATTGACTGAATGTTGTTTTTCTACATTAATCTCTTTGGTAATATTGGTTGATTGAAATTCGTGAAAATCACTTTATTTATATAATTTCTGTAAAATATAGACTTGTTTGATTAATGCACTTCATGTGTAATGTAAATCGAATTTTCAAATTGTTCGCTTCTTCTTTTATTGAGATATGAGCTACCGATTGTTTACGTAATTTTTACTACATTTTCTATACACCGTATATGTACTTGGAGTCATAGTCATTGAACAAAAAATGTTGTGTCAATCATAGTTTACAGAAAATAATATCGCGAATTGATTGGATTTAAACATGTACAACATGGAATGACAGCTCAGTGATCTAGAGAAGTTATGGGTACGTGCATGAGATCAAATGTCTTTGGTTCGATCTTTGACAGGGTTGTACATTCACACCTCTGAGTAGTTCTCTGCTGTAATGAAACAGTTGTCCATTACTTCTTGATCGTGCATGGAGGACAGATGCATTCCAAGTAAGGATCGGAGTCAGACAAGTCTAATTACTCTCTCCCTTCCTCTTTCTTCTGGTGGTCGACTGGATTATGAAGACCTCGACATCTGAGGAAAACACGGCATACAATGGACAGCCCAGGATCAATTAGACGATTCGGACTTCGCAGATGACCAGCCCTCCTATCACGTACACACGAACAGATACAGATGAAGACAGCCAGTGTAGCAACAGTCTCTGCATCAGTAGGCCTCAGCATACACAAAGGGAAAACCAAGGTCCTCAAATTCAAGCGGAGAACAGCAATCCAATCACTCTTGATGGCGAAACTCTGGAAGATGTAGAATCCCTCACATACCTGGGAAGCATTATCGATCAGCAAAGAGGGTCAGATGCAGACAAAAAGGCGAGGATTGGCAAAGCAAGGGCCGCATTCCTTCGATTGAAGAACATATGGAACTCAAAACAACTTTCAACCAATATCAAAGTGAGAATCTTCAATACCAATGTCAAGGCAGTTCTACTGTATGGAGCTGAAACTTGGAGAACTACAACAACCACCATCACCAAGAAGGTACGAGTATTTATAAATAGTTGTCTACGCAAGATACTCAACATCCATTGGTGAGATACCATCACCAACAGCCTTTTGTGGGAGAGAAAAAAACCCAGGTTCCAGCTGAAGAGGACATTAGGAAAAGACAATGGAAATGGATAGGACATACATTACGCAAATCATCAAACTACATCACGAGGCAAGCCATAACCTGGAATCCTGGAGAGAAGCGGAAAGGAGGAAGGCCAAAGAACACATTACGTTGGGAAATCGAAGCAGACATGAAAAGGATCAATAGGAACTGGAAGGAGCTGGAAGGGATTGCCCAGGACAGGGTTTGATGGAGAATGCTGGTGAGTGGCCTATGCTCCTTCACGAGGAGTAACAGGCGTAAGTAAGTAAGTAAGTAAGTTATTGAATAAGGAAAAGAGAATTCAGCGAAGAAAATTTCGTCGAAATAGAATTTTCTTGGCTGAACTCTTTTTTTCTTATTCAAAATTTTTATAATTAAATTATGGTTTAAATGATACGAAGATATTTCTCAAGCTGATTGTTTTACATTATTTTAATGCTTCAACAATCAACGTTCTTCTTTGAAAACTCAGATTAGTTGAATACAAAAAGCATTCAAATCATATTTTCTCAAATAAGTCAATCACCTTACAAGTGTTAATTGAAATTTTCGTTATTCACACTTTTTTGTTTCACTATCGTGTTATCATGACTACAATAAAGGCAACTATAATGGGTATTCACTGAATTGATTATTAGTTATTAGATTTAATTTGAATGGTCTACATTGGCTTTCATTGTTAATCATTATTTATTGAATGATTTATATTCATACACTATTGCTTATAACAAGTATTTCAACAGATTCTAAATTTGAGGACACGTTATTCAATATTAACTTATCTACATGTTTATAATTTCATTTATATCTACAAGATATTTTAATTGTATCATGGGTTTTAAATGTTCATGTCTTTGTATAGCATTGTTCAGAGAATACAAAAAAACTACTTCAATTATAAGGTTACATAATGGATCCTTAAAACATTTACTTAAGTTTTTGTAAATGAAGCATTATTACATCATATAGACCTGTATTTAATATAATCCATAATTGTATTTTTAGAAATTCTATTTAGTATTTTATAATGTTAACCCATCATTTATCAAACGTCAAAACACAAATTTGAGTTGATGTTTTTCTTTTGATTATTCCATATGGTATTCTAAATGGTATTTATTTGTCATTTACACTTCATTATTATAAAAGTTTATAATATTATACTCTTATCAATACACATTTTGACATAGGCAACATTCTTGTACATACTTAGATCTAGATTACATAACATGATTTATACTTTATTTTAATATGTAATAGGCCTTTTGAAATAATCTAAGTATTATTATGATGATGATTAATGTTCGTTTCTTATTTACTCTAGTGAACTGTATGCGCATTCGTGTGTTGTAAAATATTTGGGAATTCTGTGAAAATAGTTTTATTATATATATATCAACTTAATTTGTGTGGATTTTTATTTTCCTGAAAGCATCACTTGATGCTACCATTTTATCATAAATATTTTAAGCTATAAATTATAAAGAAGAGTTCAAAATAATCCTGATGAATTTGACTAAATTCTTAGTCGATTAGTGATATGTCTTGTTGATTGAATGCTACTTGTTATACCTGGTCATCGCTGATTGTTGTGTCGGAAACGCTTATCAATTATAAACGAAACGATAGACCTCTGCAATTCTCACGACGAGAAAGTAAGAACACAAAGACTGGTATAAGTGAAGATTTATTAACGCCCAAAACACGACGACCCTAGTCGAAAATACATTCATTTATATATTAATTAGTACACACACTTTGATGAATAATTAGAATGAAATCACATATGTAAAAAATACTCAGTTATAATAAATCATAAGCTGAGCATAGTTCATATCCATTGAATACAAGAATATTGTATGTTATACAGAATGAACTATCATACGAGAAAAGAAAACAAATACCGCATTGAATAATCATTATATTGAATCAAAACGGAAGTAATGTTATTATTATTATTATTTTTATTAATGGCTATATTCAGTATTATATTTTGGTACAATATAGAATTCTCAGCACAGGGTATTTCAACAAGTTACTTACGCAAAAAGAACAGCAAGAAAGACAAAAAAAGGAACAAGAAAGGCTTAAAGAAAACTAAAAAACTGTACAACTTTTCAAATAGGAGACATGTTAAGAATTCAGGTTATTGATTACGTTAACCCTAACAACCTGTTCGTCACAGAGTATATTTGCTATGTAAGGTATTATAGAACTTTTATACTTTTGTTTACGTGCATGGATTTTAATGTAATTACGTCTCGTTATACCAGAAGATATACAAGGAGAAAGATAAGAGTGAGGGGATGGTTAGTATCTGATAAAATAACACCTGCCAGGAGTTTGCATGACTTTAGATCTCTATCCACAACCATATTATTTATGACCTCGAAAGATTCAGCACACATCTTGCTAACTGCCCTCAGCACTTTCCGCAATACAGCAAAGTCTTTTCTCAAAAGCTCGGGTAAGTAAATCAATCTAATTTTGACTTTTACCATCATATCAGTCAGAAAACAGACTAAGATTGGCACTGTAGTGTTTGAGAAAGAATTATGGTTGTATGGTTAAAATTCAGGGATAGGGTTGATTTACGTGCTATAAGCAACCTAAAAAGAAGAATCGAACATTTGTAAGAACTACAATCTAAATTTGGATGAATAGTTTTACAGTAGTTGGGTACCTAATTAATGTGGAAAACATAAAAGTGATGAGTTATATTTGTAATAAATATCTCGGCAACCAAAGTAAATCCAACGTTTGATTATATTTCCTTCAAAAAGCTTGAACCAAATTGCCGTGTGTAACGTTGGATTTTATCAAATTTCATTTTCGGATATCTTTTACACATATGATTTTCCTCTTTAATGGCATCAGTTTTACTCTTTAATATCAAGAAATAAATTCTGTATATAACTTTAAATGTTCTAGTCACTTTACAAAAAGTGATCGTACTGCTCTTTTTACATGATGTAAGCTAAAATTGAGTAAGTTTAGGGTTAGAACCCCTTAAATCATTTTCTTGTTTCTATATGATCTACCGTTTTGAATAAGTTCAGATAATGATAGTAATAGAGTTCAGTACACACATTTGATCGCATTTTGGATTTGTCAGCACTCCAGTACGAATGTTCACACTGAAACTCGATACTAGTGCGCTTCACTTCGAATAATTGTGTGTTGTTTGAACTCACTGGCTCAATAGGTAACTCATTTCTTTGTAAAACGAACTCTTTTGAGTTTGAGTTTTATTGTGAGCATTGACATTGTTATACAAGTACATCCACTTGGTGAATCTCAGACAGGATGAAATGCATATCTTAAAGTTTTCTTGATGCCAACTGTCCAAATTTAGTAAATCATTCGAATGCTTTCTTCGTAAAGTTCATGTTTTCTTAGTATCTAATTGATAACAATATGTGTATATTTATAATGTTTTGTCAGTCATCTGTTTCATGTTTATTACTCCAAGTAAATATTACTATTTCTTAGTTCTCATTTTATTCTAAGCAATTAGTCCCTTTGATAAATTTCGATAGTGTAATAAGAAGACGAAGATTATCAGAAATATGTAGTTCTGATAATCTTCGTCTTCTCATTTTATTATTTTTTATTGTTTTACCATTTCGTTTCTTGTAATAGTTGTAGCATTTGAACATATAAATGACGATTGTCCTCATGAATTATGCTTATTAACGGTTCGAAATTCGTTTGTGTGTGTATATATGGAAGAGGATTTTCTTTTATGTTGATTAACCGAGGTGATATATTTATTCTATTCCTTCTCAAAGAACTGTGCTATTCCATTTGAAATGTTTTCATTCATTACTCATCACTTATTTCGTTTAGTTTTATTCTTTTGACTAATTACTAGAGATTTATATGGTAACAATAGTAATATTTATAGATATTCTGCATTAGTTGCATGTATTTACATACACATATCTACTATAATAAACACTATATGTTGCATTTCTTTTTTAAAGTCTAATATTTGTCTTAAAAGTTGAATTGATGAGTCGATCCAATTTAACGCACCACTGAAAACCTGGAAACACTGGACGGCCGTCTCCTCCTAGTAGGGACTCTTCAGCATCGCGAATACAAGTTCCCACACATGGGACTCGAACCCAGGAAATTCGGTCTCGCGCACGAATGCTTAACGTTCTAGACCACTGAGCCGGCTGGCATTCAACAGTGTCAATGTCTAACTTCAATCGGCCCCTGATCTTACGCAACTCTTCATCCACTGTCTGGAGTGGATAACTCTCTCCATTTGACACGGATTGGATTCCACTGGTCACGGCTTCTCGTTAGAACCCCAGGAAACCCATTTTCAAGCTAGTCACTACCGAACATATGGTTATTATCAGAAGGGGGGTTTGTGGAGCTTAGATAGACTCGTCAACTCATCTGTTAAATTACTACAATTTCCACAAGTCCCTATACTAATATCCATTTCTTATGAATATTAATCCTTTTTTTAGTTGTATGAAATTGAATATAGACACAATGAATTGGCATTTCAGTTATTAGTTATCTGTTGTACAATGTAAAAAGTGTATGTAATTAGCCTACATGAATAACGATTATTTCTATAAATTACTAAAAATTCCCATATTATTGTATCAGTTCTATTAACTGCTGCAGATCATTGCGTCTATATGAATATTTACATGTGTATGTGTGCATTTATGTATGTATTAAAGATAGTTAATTACTGTAACTGATATTCCACAGGTAAAATACGTAAAATACGTTCTTGAGTGTTCCAATGATAATTTAAATTATAAACTGAAGCCATTTGGTGAACCATTAGACGCACCTACAATCATCCATAAACCAATGACATTTATTTCTCATAGTAAGTTCGATACTTCTAGTTCTGTAGGTCAGCACATAGTAGTCGTTTTATCATATCGCATAATCTTCATTCAATAACCTTGGTTATTTCTCGACTTATTTTAAATTAAACTGACTACACAATTGGTGAGTTGGTCTTGTTGACTAGTGATAAAAATTTTCTTCGATATTTCTTTTTGTTTAGAATGAACAAATCTCGTTAATACATTTAGATAAGTGCATAAGAATACTCTGGCATTATTTAAGTGATAAGAAACTAGTGTACACTGATCTTGTATCTATTAATTTTCACTATTCGTCATGTTTCTATTCTTCAGATCACCTACCATGGCAGGTGGTTTATTTGCTATAAGTCGTGAGTATTTTAATCATCTTGGGAAGTATGATTCTGGGATGGAAATATGGGGAGGTGAAAATTTGGAACTGTCATTCAAAGTAAGCAAAGATGTTTATAACTGCTTGTATTCTTCTAACTTAAAATGAAATTTTCGAACTTCAGTTAGTTCAGTTTGTTTGTTGTGTATTTGTTCAGTCAGTTGAAACCTAGTTTTAATTCTGTCTTACTCCCTTTAATTTGCTTCATCTAATTTAAATGGACAGCGAAAATTCATAGAAATATAAGAAATAAGTCACGCTTTCTTACGTTTAACAAATAATCACACTACTTCCCTAACGGAATTCAGTGAAGCATGATTCGAACTTGAGAGGTGATTGCATCAAGTCAAGTCTGGTAACCATTAGTCTGTCATCTTTTACTGAAACATTCAACCAGATATTAACTTGTTCCAAATTATAAACCATATGTATCAGTAGTGTATTCGTATTTGCTGAGGTAAATGAAAATATATTCAGTAATTATTTGAATGTCAGCCATGCCATTCATGTATTTTACTGATCTAAAGATTTCTATTTACGTGTAATGATAGTCGCAAATGAATTTCGATATTTGCATGCATATTTATGTAGGCGGTTGATTGTATTATTGTGTCTTGATTGGTATTTCCGTTCTCCCTTAATTATGTTTAGACAACTTAATCTAGATAATTGAGAAAAACAAACATCATATATAGTTTGTCAAATATAATAACCTATTGTCGACTAGTTTGTTTCATTTTCATCGTGATTTTACAACAATTAAGGAGATTCATTTGTAGTATATTAGCCGTTGAATTATGTTTCTAGTAGAATGGTTCTGTAATGATTTGAAAACAATGATGAAACAATAGCCATGGAAATAGTTACTTGAATGTTCAATCGAACTGGTTAGCATTCGAGTGATGTTGTAGTGCTGCTTATAGAATATTATAGAATACTACTAGTGTTTAAGGGTTATGTAGAATACAACTGTGAGAGCGATTTACAAACTTGCATACAAAATACTCATCTGAGAACAGATAACATAAAACTGTGTTTGATATCTCAGTTATTCTACCTTAGGTGATTTAAGCTAACGGCTTGCTTATCTACTTTTATGTGACTAGCATTTTATATTTAGAATGCTAATTACTTACTTATGTCCGTTACTCTTCGTGGAGGAGCATAGGCCACAAGCCAGCATTCTCCATTGAACTTTGTCCCGTACAATTCTTTCCAGTTACTATTCATCCTTTTCATGTTTGCTTCCAATTCTTGACTTAGTGTGTCCTCGAATCTTCCAGTTTTCCGTTTTGCTTCAGGATTATGGAGTAAGCACTTGCTTCGTGATGCAGTTTAATGATTTTCGTAATGCATGTCTTATCCAATTCCACCGACGTTTGCGAATTTCCTCTTCAGTTGGTAGCTGGTTTGTTCTTTCCCACAGTAGGTTGTTGCCGATGGTGTCCGGTCAACGGACTTTTAGTATATTGTGTAGATAATTGTTTTTAAATACTTGCACATTTTCGGTGATGGTTGTGGTAGTTGTCCAAGTTTCAGCTCCGTACAATAGAACTGTCTTGACGTTCGTGTTAAAGATTCTCGCTTTGTGTGTATTGGTTGACCGTTGTTTTGAGTACCATTTGTTCTCCAACTGATAATTGCTTAGCTGTTCTATAAATAGTGATATAGAAATTAGTTACTCTTTATTATACATTCATTAATCTATTGAATAATTTCGACACACTTCCATTCCTCATGATGGTACATCTTGCGGCCCAAAACCTTCTGACACCTTGAAGCTAGTGCTTCTTTGATCCCTTCCCAAGTGTCCTCCATAGTAGTTTTCTCCTGTGAGTAAATCTTGTAAGACTCAGAACCTGTTGTTTAGAGTTATCTTAAATACATTGATTTTGTAAGCATGTCGAAAGAAGTATGTATCCAACTTTTTTAATGGCAGTTCCCCGATTGTCTATTACTTCTTTGGCTTCAGTTTCATGTTGACGGCCACTAGGTGGTGATAATAAGCTATGTCATCTCCTCTCTTTGTTCGTATGTCTTCCATTGCCCTTCTAAATGTTTTGGTGATGCGTATATGATCTATCTGGTTCTCCGTGGTGTGTTACGGTTTTGCCCATGTAGCTTTGTGTATACGTTTGTGTGGGAATATTGTTCCACTTATTACCACTTGGTTGAATTCACATAAATTTACAAATCTGTCACCGTTTTTGTTCCCTTCTCCCTGTCTATGTCATCCCATGATATCTTCATACCCGTTGTTGTCCACCCCGACTTTGGCGTTTAGGTCTCTTATCAAGATGGTTAGGCTCTTATCTGAACACTTCACTATGATTGGTTGCAGTCCCTCGTGAAAGTGATTTTTACCGTCGTCATTGCCATGATTGGTGGAAGCATAATATTGGACAACATTTATTGTGATTCCATTGTTTTTAATGATGCTTTGATCTTGGATCCATGAGATTCCCATCCCATAAATGTATTTAGTTCTTCATTGGACAGCATCCGAGCGACCCCTGAATGTGTGGGACATTTTCCTCTCCGTGACCGGAGTACAGCAGCACCTCTGTTCATTTTGGGCCCAAGGGGTTCCACTGATCCTGAGCACGGACATGTTGTATCTTTTCATTTCCGTAGCCATTTTTCTGATCCTCCAGGTCTTCCACATTGTCCGGATATTTCATGTACCTATATTAATTGTTGGTGTGGTTGTTAGAAGGGTCATCGGTCTCATGACCTCTGAAGAATCTCGGCTTTCATCATGAGGTGCCATAATTTTAACGAACGAAGATTGTTTAACTCGGAGGGTAGAGTTCAAGTGGTTTAAATTGTTTAGTCTGGTTAGCATTTGTTTTAGCAAGGTTGCTTTCTACAGCATTGGGTTGCTTACCACATACACAACCGTCCTTCTTTATCCAAACTTTGGTCTTTTATTAACCCTAGAAAATCTGCAGGCGGAGTTGGAATTATTATTTACAGCGTCGTAATTCATGATAGAGGGTGTGTTTCGTTCTTTTCCGTTTTTACTGACTTATATGAAAAATGTGAGGTTTTCATCGATGAAAATGCCACATAATCATGGTGCGGATATGTCCAGTGTAGTACACTCAGTCATACTGGAAGAAAAATTACAATATAGCAAAATCCATACCTCCAACTATTTCTGTTGAAGAAATTGTTTCAAAATATCTGAATTGAGTGACTAACTAGGTGAAAATAACTGCAGTTACTATTTACGATACACTTAGATGACTTGATAACGTGTACTTTATCCACAGCCATGTTTAAATGTTGTTCTCGATAATTGTGCCCTTTTTCACAGTTTCAAATCGTTGTGATGCTTCATGCTGATCGATTATGTACAGGACAGCTGTTGAATAAACGCTTATTCAACAGGTCGGTTAACCTTATGAAACACCAATAACTGACATTTCTTGTTATGTTTTATAGTATATTCCGTTAGGCGCACTTGTATTCATAGATCAAAATAGCTTTTCTTACGTAGTTTTTTAAGGAACATGGTCAGCCAAAACTATAGAATCTGCATTTAAGCGTCTCTTTGTGTACTAACTCTGTAATATAAATTTTGAAATAATGGACATGGAAAGTGATTACCATGTAAAATCTCAGAAATGCGAACACTCTCTGGTGTAAGGAAATGTAACCCGGTAATCAAGATACTTGACCTCCGACTGTTGTGTTATATTTCCAAAACAAAATTCTGTTATCTCTGCTCAGACACTTTAATTTCTATTAACAATAATATATAATTTGTATTTCAACTTGAGCACACAAAACTGTATGTAGGTAGGTACTGAGTTACAATATATTCGCTTTACAAACTACCTTTGTGTCTTTTTACTAAAACGTTTAATATTCACATTTTTTAAATCATATATAAGCTCCATTAAGTAGTTTAAAGTGATAAATTACTAATGGATCAATTAAGAACCAGATTACTATTTAACTAAAGTTGGTTCAGTGATTGTAGAGATAGTTATGAAATATATTAATAGTTCAGTACCGAAATAATTACAGTTTATTGAAATTTTAATATTTAATGAATGTTTTCCCGAATATTTTCAGTAAATTTATTACGTGAAAACGGTTATATGATTCATAATTTAAATGGTTTCTAAGCTTTGACCGTCTTTAAATGGAACAGAATCAAACGATGGAATTATGAAAATAATTCACTTACAAGAATAGTTCAATTGTAGAACTGAGATATTAGTTTTATGATCATCGATAATTTTTCCAGATCAAAAAATGTTTGTAAATATTTTACACCATTACTTTACTTACTTACTTACTAACGCCAGTTACTCCCAATGGAGTATAGGCCGTCGACCAACATTCTCCAACCCACTCTTTCCCGGACCTTCCTTTCTAGCTCTATCCAATTGTTGTTCATTCTTCTCATTTCTATCTCCATTTCTCGACGTAATCTGTTCTTTGGTCTTCTTTGATGCTTTTTCCTGATTTCTTCCTCTGCTGAGATCTGGTTTGTTCTTTCCCACAGTAGGCTGTTGCTGATAGTGTCTGACCAATGGATCCATTGATAATCATATATTATTGACTAAATTAGTTAAGGATTCATGAAACAAATGGAGTTTTAAAGTTTTCTGATAAGTTCTCAATTCTCATTTTAAAAAATTCTGAATAGTTTGTGCGGTAGGATTATAAATAAAAAGAATGTATTTGTAATTTCCAAATGTATAGAACAATTAGATTTTCCGACATTTTGTGACTCAGTGTAAGCCACTTCTTCAGAGAATGAACAAACAAATCAAGATTAACCCAAGTTTAAATAATACAAAGGAACAGAGCAAGAATATTAGGTGCGATCAGTCAAAAAAAGAGGTCTGGACAAGTCAATGTCATGTCATTCCGGTCAAGATAATTTATGTGCGATATGTATGTAAATTGTGTGTGTGTATTTATGTATGCTCAGGGATGAATAAATATGACATTTGTGGTAAGGAAGGATCGAGTTTAATTTGTATGTACGATAATAGTGTGAAAAATGAGTAATATCAGACATGGTAGCTTGGATAGATAGTTCAGGTCGGATGGATAGTAAGGCTGTCTTTTCTATTGACAACAGTAGGATTAAGCATTATATGGAAAGTTTCAGCTATTCTGCTTTCTTTGTAGTTGAAAAGCCTTTTTGTATGATTTTCATGTTTTTGATTTCGATTTGATGGTTGTTGAAAATGGCGTAAACTGCTGTTGCTGATTTAATTTGAAGTCTATTCAGTTCTACGGGATTATTAGGTGGTTTCAGTGTATATTACTAAGATTCTTTTCGGCTCGAGTCGAGATTTCACGAGATGACTCTTCAATATAGAAGGCATCACAATCAACACATCCTAATTTCTAGACACAGTTATTTATTAACATAAAAGTAATTTTTTCTTTTGGAGAAAACTAAAGTGTTTTGAAGGGTGTTTGTTGTTTTGTAATATGCTTTAATTCTGTGTAGTTTTAAAATCCTTCATTTTTAGTAATGATATTATTAAGTATACAATAACTACTAGACCATGTTGTTAATTCTTACCTCCTCTCAATCTATCCATCATTTGTGATATGTACTATTTAGGTTTGGATGTGTGGTGGTAGTTTAGAAACTGTCGTGTGCAGTCTTGTTGGACATATCTTTCGTAGTCGTTCACCATACAAATGGAATATTAATGTAAAAGATCCTTTGAAAAGAAATCTACTCCGTTTGGCTGATGTATGGCTTGATGATTATAAACGATTTTATCATGCTCGTATTGGATTTAACACTGTAAGTTTGCTATACTTAAACTGTATTTGCTTTTTATTGAATTTATATAACTTACTAAATTCAGGGATATATTGCTTGTAAAATAAGTTCAGATTACCCTAATAAGCTTCACAAATCATTCCTATCTAAACTCGTTAGCTAAATAAACAACATTCTGTTATGTGACACTTTCATTTTACCGCCTTTTTGTTATAGTAAAAATAACGTGTTGGATAAATATTCAGTTAGAGGAAGAAAACCTTTGTTCTGAATCCTTGTATGTTTCCTTTCACAGACGAAATTGACAATTATTCAAAAAATATCTTTCTTCTCATGTTGATATCAGTTATAATGTACTTTGAATTTATAATTATCTATATAGTTATTTTCATTCATACTTAGGAATTAATCATGATTGCATCTTAACAATAACATTGACACTTGTGTTGATTTGATGAATTGAAAATGGTGATGATAAGTAGGCTAACCGAACCACCTAGAACTGAACATAATCTTTTTCTTCTTATCGTGTAAGTGTTTGAATCATTTTATTGTTGATAATAACGGATGAATTTTGGATGTCCTTTGTTGACATTTGTACATCCTGTGTGGATTATTGCCTTAACTATTGAAAAACGCTCTCTGGATCCGATTTCTAATCAAATCCCATATTTTCTAAATAGCAATGGTTATTTGCTGAAATTATTCAACAGGCTCTATCATTATGTCTTCTTCGGCGTGTGCATCAATTTTTAAACTAAAATACTTTCGTGAGAAAAGATAGATGGTGGTTAGGTATGGAATCTAGGACACATGTTTCGTCCTATTTTAGGACTCATCAGCTGGATGAACCTGCATCTCAGTGTTGATGTTCACTACGGGACTCAAATCTGGTACCGTTCGCTTCAAACACTGCTATTTTATTGGTTGTTTGAATCTTCGCATTGATGTTTAGGACTGCAATTGATCAGTCTCTTATTGGCATATGTGCATCCTATGCGGTTGCCTCATCGTTGCCAGAATTTGCAAGCATTATAAACCGAGAGGTGAAAACGAATTTTTACTTCTCATTTCAAAACTAATGCAGCTTAATTTTGAAAATGTTTATAATAGTGTAATTATTTTATAAAGTTATTTTCCGGTATTTTTGATCTGGTCAAGAATGTCCAAAAGTAGTCGAGAATCAAAATTTGAGCATTCATTTTAGAGTACATGTTGGATTCATAAATATTTTCATGCTCTTTTTTAAGGTAAAATACAGTAATTTTCAGGAGACGCAATTAAATTTTAGCGATTAATCGCGTAATAAATGATTTTCTCCTTTCTGTATTTACTCTGATTTAGATTGATTTTGGAGATGTTTCAGAACGCAAAGCCTTACGAGAAAAACTGAAATGTCACTCATTTGATTGGTATTTAACCAATGTTTATCCTGAATTATTTGTTCCTTCGAAAGCTTTGGCTTCTGGTGATGTAAGTTTTTTTGTCGTACATTTTCTGTTTTCTACGGAATTCAATGTTTAAACATGAACTATTTCCCGAGTTATGTTTGCAATTTGTTTTATTTTTTACAACTGATCAGTCACTGAGTAGTTACTAATGTCATTTATGCCGCGTCCTTCTTGGTGTTAATCGAATTATATTGATCACGTTATCACTAGTCAGGTTAAATCGACGTCATTTTTGCCATGATGGGACGTTAGATGGTTGAACATCAAAAGTATACCTGGACCAAGGATTTGCGCTAGTTGGTAATGCTCGTGTAGGCGTACATGTTATCTAGAGGTGACGGACACTCGCTCATTGGGCTTGACAGTTTGAGACATTGTTTCGTACGTATGAATAAAATGAGTATTTTGACCAAAACAGATGACAGAGATCTTAATTACCAAGATTTTGCGTTTTACAGTACGATTACAGGGAAGTTAGTGAAAATTCATGTTTTCAAAGATGACGTGATGCTAGTCAAAATGAGTAATTACGGTTACTTGCACCGATCTTTTATTTGGCTATAAACGGTTGTTAGTCTATTATCCTATATAATTATACTGATTACAGCTTAATTTATCTCTATTGTACTAACATGATCTTGTCTATGTATAACATTTTCTTAAAATTTATTGAACCAACATTGATTTCATCATTCATAAATCAGTGATTTCAATGAAATCTATCTGATAGATGGTTTATTATTTCAGCAAACGTTTGCAGCCATGTTTTATCACATTCGAACTACATTTTCTTTTCTGTGTTACACTTATCCGGATGAGAAATTTCTCGTATTTCTTGCGGTCTACAAATTCTGAAGCTTTGTCAAGTCACTACTCCGTTTCTTATTGTTAAAAATGTCTTCTGTTACCTTTGTTTATCTATTCCAATCCATCATCCATGAATAATTTCCCTTAACCATAATATTGGACATTCCCAGTGATATACTCTGTCATATTTATTGGTGACCTTGTAAGGACTGGAAAATAAACTCCTTTGGAAATGTCATTATTAGCCTTAAATACTATATTGAAATGATATTTCAACATGGAAACTTGTACCTTTTGTTTTAGGCAAATAGTAAGCATAGTATGAACGTTGAAAAGCAGAATGTGAGTAAAACTGAGAAATTATTTTGATAGATAATACTTTTGATATGATGATCCAGCTGTTACTATTGTGATTGCGTCAAATTATGGAATTGAAGCAGTGATTTCGCATATCTAACCCAATGAATCTGAGAAAGCCATATCAAGTGCAGCTAGATCGTTAATTACAGCAGAACGTAGCTATAGTCAGATCAAAAAGAATGCATTGACATTCTTCTTTGCTGTAAAGAAGTTTCACGAGATGATATTTGGATTCAGTTTACGATATTAACTTACCATAAACCATTGCTGGCCATATTCAGGTCGAAAAAAAAGATTTCGGTGTATACAGCGAACAGACTGTAACGATTGGGAAGTATATTCTTGGGTTACAACTACAAGATTAAGTACCATCACACTACTTATTTCGGACAAGCCGGTGCCTTGTATAGACTGTTTGGTTCACAAGTGAAACGTGAAGAAAAATTTCTTGTGTTGTTCCGTTGTACTATTTAAACATGGAGTTATTTTGCTTTGGTTATTTATTCTCTGAAGAAATGGCTCACACTGAGTCACGAAATGTCAAAAAATTTAATTTTTCTACTAATTGGGAAGACGCTGTCGATGGTCTACTAGTTACTTTCAAAGCTATCAAAGAAGCTATGGAAAATAAAAATGTATTAGGAGAAGTTAAGTGTTGTCTTCTCACCAAGTGGCCGAACCGTCGTTTTGAAGGAGAACTACTGCAATATTTTCTCTGACGGAACTCACTCAAGATTGGTGATTCATGTATTATGTTCGGCGGCAAAATTATTTTTACGAAAAACATTACGCCACAAGGTTTTGAGACAATTCCATATTTGCCATCCTGGCATCTATAATACAAAGTCGTTCGCTCGAAGCTATGCTTACTGGCCTACAATGGATCGAGATATCGAAACTAAGTGCCTCAATTGTTCGTTGTGCTTGCAAGCAGCCAAAAGCCTTAGGTCGAGTGGGCCACAACAAAGGAAAAAGCCTAATAGTCCCTGAGAGAGTCTCCACTCAGATATTGCAGGCCCACCACGGGGAAACGTGTTTTTAGTCATAGCTGATGCACTCTCGAAATGGTCAGAAATCTATGCTATGACAAATTGCATAACCAGTGAAACAATCAGCAAGTTACTGGATTGTAGAAAATTTCTTGAATCCTACATCTCATAAAATCTGAAGGTTTATTTAATGAGATGAATATTAAATTACGTATACTTCAGCAAAAATAAATAGTACTTCTCTTTGAAATCAACTTGTTTAAGTTTTACATTCTTATTCTTGACAAAAAGCCTCGTTAAATTTCTTTTGGATAACTATCTTCCTGGAACTAATGTTGGACGTTGCAAAACCCCTTGTTATGAGTGAACATATTTTTTAAAAATGCGTATTGATTCGTCACTGATGGACTTGGATAAAGGTTGTATTAGATCGCGAATGAAGAGAGCGAAACGAAATGACACTCAGTGGAGAAGGCGTGTGAACGAACTCCATTTAATCAAGCGTTAATCAGTATTTATAGCCAGATATAAACAAGTTACAGATATGTGATGAAAAGAATAAGAAGTGTACTTACATATACTCTCATATAAAAACAGTCAAGGCTGATAAGTGAATAATTAACAAGGTCAAAACTCAAGAAGAATGGATAAAGTTAGAATAAGGGAATTGGGCTTGACATAGCAACCTACACTACAGCAGTTTAGTACACGAAAAATGTATGACTTGGTTTTGTTACTGTGGTAACGGTTCCAAAATACATGAAGTTCGGAACCTGGAGATGTTTTGTGAGATTATTTTTGAGTTGAGGATATAATAAACTATATTAAGGAAAAACTTCAACATAGATTATGAGCAACTTCTAATTACCTGCTGCTGTATTTTTATTTTCACCATATTTCGCAATACTTCCGAACAAAATATAATATAAAATGAGACCTGTAAGCACATCAATAAATTCGATGGTTAATAACCTTAGTTATCACCAATTTCTTTTAGGCAGTCTGATTTTTGTTACCAGTAGTAAATTAACCTGAAATCACCATTTTAAATAAGATCCATATGTGATGAGATTATAAATCCAACCAACAGTGTAGTCTTTATCACGTAAAAATCTGCCACTGAATACTTTTACACTGCAAAATTTACTTTCATGGTCTGCTGCTTCTTCCGTGATTGCTCACTTCAGTTTATTGCACTTTTATGTTCATTTAAAACGTCGAACCTGCGTTGTTCATTGATAACACGTCTCCTTCTAAATTAACATATGCATATATGTGATTTTAGTTGGAACGTTTAATGTTGCTTCGTTTGGACTATCGGCGATCGGTAAATTTGACTGTAGATATCATATTTGAATTCAGAAAATTAACTGAAGAGTGTTAACGTGGAGCTTCACTTCAGTTAAAATGTTTAAAATGAACTATTTATGTTGGTAGTGAATTGATGTAACGTGTGTTCGTAATTGGACGCAATCAATCATTTTCATTCGAAGTTTCAGATTTGTTTGTTTCAAACGAAGTATTTTTTGAGAGAAATCATGCTTACATTTGATGGTTTGTCAGTCATTCATAATTCTGTCTTTCTGATTTTCGTCATTCGATCAACCAGTTTCATCAGTCACATTCTTCCAAACTGTTTTTGTGTCCTTTGTTCATTCGGACATGTGAAACTGTGTTCAAATTCTCCCAACTTTCATTTTGATAATATAAGTCTTTGTGAAGTGAGATGTTTTGCAGTAGCCATATATGAATTTTTATTTTTGAAAACAAATGGAAAGGACAGATTGGCGACACTAAACTATTCATGTCAGAGATTAGTTGAAGAGTAGATGTTCTGGTTGAATGGTTCGACTACTTCACTCTCAATCCTTAGTACAGGTGTTGACGCGGGTCAGTCTTGAGGCAAGAGTTTGCATTTAGAGTGGGAAAAACACATCCCAAACACCATGAAATTGTTGCTCAGTGCTACCAAAAGACTCTGCCTTTTATGAGCAACTTCAACAAGCAGGACTATATGATCTGTGTGTTCTCAATCGATAAAGTGGACCTCGTGGAAGGAGATCAATGACCGAAATTACAGTCGACGAGCAAGTTATTTCCAGCAGTAGGTCTATGATGATAAATTGAAAACCTTTAGAAAGTAGAATCGTGCAGTATGGGAGACTATTCAATACTAGGGATATCAAATCATTTCGTCCTACCAAATACAAATAAATAACGTAATATGCAGTTATTTAATACTTTTAACAGTCTTCTTTTATGGCGTGACGTTACTTGAACAAATATTGAATAAATCTATATGAGATGGTGGAGAATATTTGTAACTCAGGTGGATGATTTCGAAGTTTTGTTCTCTGAGATGGATCATCGTTCTTCTGATCGAAATCATCAGTACCTGAAGTTTGTGCTGATGATGTCGTTCGGAAGAACGATGAACGCTCCACGACTAAACCATCCAGCTCAGAGAACAAAGTTCCATCAAAATAAATCTATATTGATAAAGGTCTATTCTTTGGTAATTTTTACCTTGTTTAACAAATATATGTAGAGTACTTGATGATTAGTTGATTCATCGATATTTCTAACATTGCAGATTGAAAGTGCTGTTGGTCCACACTGTTTGGATTCACCAACTCCTCGTACTGGAGATAAAAAACAAACTATAATCAAAATATGGCCATGTCATAAACAAGGTGGCAATCAAGTCAGTTAATCGATTGATTATTGATAGCTATGTTGAATAATGAAATAGGAATGACATAAATACCAATAATAGTTTACAGTACAACATAGAGTACTGTGAATAATTTTCTCTTAATAAATTATTACACTTCATGTATCTTAATGGGAAGCGTTTTTAGATATTTCTGACTAATTACTGATGAATCGAAATTTGTGAAATTCTTACATTAGAATCTAATTAATGTTCAATAAACTTTAAGGCATAACTAATCATTTTGGAAGTATAGATGCAGTCAGTGTATCGTTAATTCTGAATAAGATGTGTCAATTACATATAAGGCTCTGTGAAAAGCTTTGGATAAAGGTGACATTATTGATCGACGAACTTGTAAACTTTTTGATAGTTATAACATATACCCAAGCTACTGACGTTAGTGTTTCAAGATGGTGTTATCAAATGAGTTATTGGTTCTTTCAAACCTCAGAGTTACTAACATGGCGTTCCTAATGAACATCATTCATCGTTTGGAGACTACTACGGTCGAGCTTAGAGTGAGTGAACATCCTTAACTCTAAGGGGCCAGGTTTTACAGGCATAGAGTAGAACTATTGTCCTTGATACGTTATAAAGCCAATCTTGTGCAGAAAATCTAACATGATGTCAGCGTCAGAGGCCCCCCAGCTTATAATATGCCTCTTCGACCTTTACTATACGTAAATTGTTCTCATCACTCAGTCCACCACCAGCATTCACACAGCTACTTAGATGCATAAACTTCTCAACTACTACTACTGGTTCATCACGTACAATGGGTGCAAAAAAATGCTGGTCTCAGTTTGAATAGGTTGATTATGAATACAGTGGTCTTGAGTGCTATCAGAGGTATGAAGGCGGTTATCACTTCCCGGTTGCCCACACCGTAAAGGGTTCTTCTACAGGTACCTGAAAAGGAAATCGGGTAAGAGGTGGTCTTAGTGACCTGAGAACTTACCCGATCGAAGCTGCTACCTTGACGCGGTGATCGGGCTTGCCTATCGTGATGACCCAACCGAGCTATATTGGCTGGAACATATGTTCCTGCAGGTTCTACCATGCCAGGCAGGTCGATTGGCGAACGGTAAGACTAAAAGCAGCAACTCAAGGTCTGAGGGCGAAGTCGTACTGCTGACTGTAGAGAGGTGTGACAGCAGTAAGGTGTTTCCCTCGGACAACCAGCATGATAGCGATGCTGCCTTCCCACAAGGAGGGGTGGGGTTAGAAAAGGTCGGCCCTAAAAATGCACACCTCACCTTACCTCACGGATTTCCGTCTCCGGCGGTAAGGCCCCTTGAAGAACGGAGCTAACACGTCAAAAACCTTCCACAAAAAGGCCGTGCGCGACCGGCCTCAAGCAGTTGTCCCTTGGGCTCTGCGGTCACGCTCCCAGGTCGTCAAGACCAACACTAATCCAATTTCCTTTTCAGGTTCCTCAAGAAATACCCTTCCACGGTGTGGGCAGCCGGGAAGTGATATCAGCCCTCATACCCGTAACAGCACAAGAGACCAAGGTGGTCACATTCAAAATCCTTCCTGACTGAGAACTTGACCGCAGTGCCTAAGGGACAACTGCTTGAGGTCGGTCACACACGACCTTTTTATGCGTAATTTTTGTGTCAGTTCCGTACTTGTTGAGACTTTACCGCCGGACACGGATATCCGAGGTATAAGGCGAGGTGTGCATTTTTAGGGTCGATCTTTTCTAACCCCACCCCTCCTTGTGGGAAGGCAGTATCGCTGTCATGCTGGTTGTCTGAAGGAAACACTTTACTGCTGTCACACCTCTGTACAGTCATCAGTACGACTTCGCCTTCGGACCTTGGGTTTGTTGCTTTTAGTCTTACCGCTCTTCAACCGACCTGTCTGACAAGGTAGGACCCTGAGGAACGGTTGTTCCAGCCAGTATAGCTCGGTTGCTTCATCACAATAGGCAAGCCTGACCACCACGTCATGGTAGCAACAATGGTCGGGACTGCTCTCAGTTTAGAATATTGGACTTAGGACGAGGAAAGTACAAGGTGCAGCCATGGACACTTACTGTTAACTAATTTATTCCAGATTGAATAGATTGGTTATATCATGCGCATACTCAAGACCAAATAATTTTTCTGAAGTTAAATGGTCTACATCACTGCTACTTACTTCCATTAAACCTGGTTTCCAGAATGTCATAACTAATATGCTCAGATAGAAAAATTATTCAAGTTTTGTATTTGAAAAAATCTTAGTTGAGAAGGTGAATAAGTAAACAAGCATTTTATCCTTTGAATCTTAACTTAATTCGTCTTCTTATTTGTATTTTTTCTCTCTAGTTTTGGTTATTATCACCTAACAATGAAATTCGACGTGATGATTTTTGTTTTGATTCTGGTATGAAAAACAATACCGTTGGTTTATATCGTTGTCATGGTGTACAGGGTAATCAAAAATTTACTTATGACGAAGTACGTCTTCTAATTTGTAGTAAAAGTTATTTTCATCGGCAAAATCGTCATATTATTTAATATAGAAAATTTGACTGGAGAAGAATATGCTTAATTATTTCGTTTAAACTCAGTTGGCCCTAGCACTTGATGATACCTGCTCACCATGAACAATTAATAGGTCATATTATGCCGTCTTCAACTAATAGGAATAACCATAAAATAGTTTTTGTAACTTGTGGCCTTGACCCCTATTAATATATGACGTAATGATACCGCCTATTAGAGAACAGTGATTTATCGATCGGACCAATAACGCGTGAAGCCGTATGAGTAGTCTAGAGTCCTTATCGGTCCTTCTTCCTGTCTAGCCCTGCTTGTTAAGTCCAAAACACCAATCTCAGCCTCTGCGATATAAATTTTTTTTTCAAAAGTACTTGGTTTATATACAAACGAAACAGAGCATATCGTATCATAAAGTGGAAAACAACATTTGTACAAGATGAAGCCAAAAGTATCTGTGAATGTGGGGGACTGTAATTAATGTACTTGGCATAACTTGTATAATAATAGTCTATTTGTCAAAATAAAACCTATAATATCAGCAATATGAATACGCATGGTTTAGTTACTTAAGAATTATACAGTAAAAATATATGTATCGTATTGGTCGATAAATAGTTCTTAAAAGTTACCATTCATAATTCTCGTCGGGATATAACAATAACCTACTTACATGACCATTACAAGTTCTCATGACTGAATGTTTCTAACCACCATTTGCGAGATTCCAGGTGCAGACGACAATCAGTAGTACTTTCTATTGCTAAGCGTACGCGCGTGAGTCCGAATGTTTTGGGTTCGAGTCCCATGTGTGGATCGTAGATGTGCACTGCTAATGAGTCCCATACTAGGACGAAACGCCTGTCTAGTGCTTCGAAGTTTTCACCAGTAGTCTACCTTATATAGACTCATGGATTCGATTATTTTATTCATTTAATTTCTGTGGATCAATGACTTGAATCAATTGATCGGTCTGTATGTGACTGTTGCGTCAAATAGTATCATTTATTCTTGTCTATCAATATGATTTGTTGATGAGTACCAGAAAATTCGAATCTTTAACATAGTGCGTTAATATATTAAACTTGTGAATTGAGCTCTGAAGCTTACAGTTATCGTTTGATCTAAAGTAAAGAGTAGACAACATAGTGTGCTGTATACAAGTTATGTTGACAGTTCTAAGTAGTATGTAACGCCGACCAGAAGTGGAATGCCTGTCAAAAGAAGGTTGAGAAGATTGAACTGAATAAATCAGAAAGGTAAACATAAAGGGGTTATGAATTGGAAGAATTATGAAGGATGTAAAGGACAATTAATGGAATGATGTGCAGTTGCAGTACTTAATGTATTGTTTTCAAATTTTAGGAAGACATTCTGTAATTTTATATTTAACAATGAATTGGTTGTCCCCAACTAAATTCTTGTTCACTACAATAGTATACTACTTATTTTCTGCAATGTTGTTTTTTTTAAAAAAACTGTCCACTGCAAATGTTCAATTACTGTTGAATTTAATTGAAAATAAGGTAAATCCAACAGTTTGTTTAATCAAACTGAAATTATTCTTAAACTACTTTCTAATTTACAGGACAATACTATTCGTCATGAAGGACAATGTTTAGAGATCAATATTGAAAAATCCAGTGTTCAACTTGCCTCATGTACTGGATCATTAAAGCAACAATGGAAATTTAATCGCAAACCGTATATGCCAACCGCTGTAGATTTTAATCGATTTTAATATTGACTGAACACATTGGAATAATTACCAATCTATTATTTCGTGTTCAACTACTTCATGTGTATATATACCTATTAACATGTATTTGTACTAACATAAGAAAACAACAATGTCTTTCCTTAGATGTACAATCTGTTTAAACAAAGGTTTTGTGAATAGAATAGAAAGTACACAAATATTGTATTATGCTATCAATTTATTTTTTGTTGTTGTTGTGTTTTCAACATCCAATGTGTAAATTGGTTAAGCCTAGTGATAACATATCATGCTCATTTTTAAAATTTCGTTTATCTGTGATAACAGTTACGTAATATTTAGATAAATTTGTAAAAAAATTACAACCAATAAAATAAACAAAGAAACAGACAAGATAAATAACCAGTATGAGTCCAATTTTTTTTATATATTCACTAATGTGCCTTTCTCATGGTGTTTGGTTATTTCTCATTTATAATATGTAATTGAATGTATGAATAAACGATGCTCAATATTTTGTTTATTTATTATCTACCCCTCAACTTTATGGTTGTTATTCTATAGAGTGATGGTTTGTTTTCAAAGTGTATTTTAGTCTATTTTTCATTACAAAACTCTTTTGTTTTGCTTCACAACATGTTTCCCATACTTTGAATTATGAGGCTGTTACACAATCATCGTTCTCGTTCATTTCAGATATATATACATGGAGAAATGATTGCATTACCCCTGTTGCTGTTTTATGTATCAAATTAATTTATTTCATTTTATTATTTATTCATTAAAACAAACTGTATGTAAGTGCCTATTGAGAATTGAGACATGAATTTCTTTTGATGATAATCATTATTATTTTGAGGTATTTTATAAACTTCTCTAGAGTAACAAATATCGTTATGAAACAATGTGACCATAATCTTACGTTTTCTTTTTTTACATATTTCGTTTTCTCTCGAATTAAATATTTTATAACTGACTTTTCTCAAAACTTTTTTTATTGAACAAGGTGCATTCGATGGTTTAACGTAGTTACATGATTGTCAGATCGGTTTTTACTTTATACTAATGATTCAATCTTCTCACACTTTTCATAGTTATACTTCATATTGATGTCCGCAGATGCCCTGGTACGGCCGAGGGTGAGGAGAGTTCGCTTTCCCTCTCGAAATGCTCTCACATGGCTACGCGTATACAGCCATTACCAGGAAAGACCAACTCACTGCTCTCTCGCGACGAGGGTGTTGCTTACGAAATTGAGAGGACGAAAAGTGGATATCCAGTACTTTAACCGGGTTGGTGGAGTTGGAGAATTCACCTAGGGGAGTTGGAAAACCCCAGTTCCAAACCAATAGTGCAAATGGGTTCTAGGATCCTGAAGGAACAAATGGCGAATGAACCACTTATTGGTCACCGCCCACCATGAGACTGCATTTTCTTACGTTGCTCCACCGCCTTGTGGATCAGACCTTTGGGTCGCAGGCTCCGGGCGTGCCCCCCCCCTAAGAAAACTACCTGCTTCGGTCTGATCACCCAGACAGTATTACAGCCCACACACAAATCAAGTGACTTGTGTGGCGCATATGTTTTCGGTGCCCCGTTGTACCAGTATTTATGTGTTCAAATAAATAAATCTATTAAAACAATACTCATTCACCTTCACTTACAGAGATTAACCATAAAGTTTTAACCGATATTATATTTATTTGGTTTCTAGTGCTGATCGAATCCTACCGATCAGGTTTCAATGTGGCCATTAGTCTAGGTAACTCAAAGTCATATGCTCTATGTTCGATGCTAACTGGTTGAAGGTGGTCTTCAAAAAACATTAAGTCTTAACAGCTCAGTTATCACACTCATAAAATGACGAGAAATTAACGTGGTGATAACAAAATGGAATAGAGAATCTGTTGAATATACGCTGTGTATGTGTACCACTTGGACAGTAGCTTCCATTGTACTGATCTGCACAAAGCTAATGTCAAACGACTGACTAAATGTCAATGAACTAAATGACGAACGTACGCTGAAGATATATCCACAAACGTATAATTGCCTGGTAAACACTATCATTGTTTCGTAAAGAAAAGTTGGTTGACAATTCACACTTGCCGAATAATGACCATTATTTGGCAACAATAACAAAATTTTCCTACAAGCAAATTATGCTAGCTTTAAGTAATTTGCTTCAATAGTTGTAAATGAGAAGCCTTTAATAAAGTGATATTTGTCAATGTTTTGTTCAAAATATTCGCTATTTTATTTGTTAATATTGGCTTTATTAAATATTATATTTTTGATAAAATATAGAATTCTCAGCACAAAATGTTTCAACGAGTTTACAGTTCTGACTTCTCGGTCGATCTTGTCGATAAATATTGAGTGGTCGCCAGTTAGATGTTAGCAGTCCAGTAAATGAACATCTGAATAATGTACATTTTTTCGCTGCATATTGCCAACGACCACAATATCTCTGTTTTGGCCTTTGTAACATGTACAACGAAAGGTTGTACACTTTTCAGAAACGCACCTGAATAGGTTATGCGATTATTAGACATAATTATGTATTAAAACAAACAAAATAGATAACTTGTTAAAATATCTAGATGGCAGGAACAGATAGCCCAGATGTTCAAGCAGGCCGCCAACTTTGCGGGGCTTGAAAGGATGAATTTTTCAACATTTTACGCTCTCGGAAATTTAGTGAAACTGACATTATTATTCTATAGCATTAAACCAATTCTCACAAATAATGAAATGTTAGGCTAATTCAAATCTTTATGATCACTAGTAACCAGTATTGATGTATGAATAGTGAATTTTGCAGGCGACAGTTGATGCAACTCAATCTGTTTGTTTCGACTTTATTCTGACTCTAAATGAATATATCTTCTGTTAGAGTGTCCTTATTTATCATACACTCTGAACTAAACAATCATATGTGTGTTACTTCTAGTGTGAGTATGCCGGGATTAGGAACGTGTTGGTGTCATCTTTCCATTATTCTGTTACATTTCTCTAGACTTTATCGGTTCTGTCTAGACAGTTTGTGTATGTAGTGGCTGTTTAATTGAAACTCATTCTGCTGTTGATTGCGGACGATGATTACTTCATAATAAAAAAACATTTTGCTACTCATTTAGGCATAAGGAAGAAAACAGTAATTTTTAAGACATCACTTTTATTTTTATCTCAGTTATTCATACTTTAAAAAATTTCCGAAATTTGCTTTAACTTATTATTACAAGGATCTTTGATTGGCGGCGGTACCAATTAAAGTAAAAGCATGCTATATTAGCATATTTGAAATTAACAGTTTTTTTCAATATGATAGTCTAATATTTTGAACCTAGTATAGTTTGAAGTTCATGGCACAATATTTTTTTGAGTCCCAAAGACCTCAAAGAACTACTGAAGTACATAGTTGTGATGCAACCGCATACTTATAGAGGAATCCACAAGGATATTAACCAAGGGGACGTCACTTGTTGACTGTTAAGTAGATAAATACTCAGTATAAAAGCAAAGCTAATTGAAAAATCCGTAAAGTGGATTTCGAGAAAGTGATATGTGTAATCCATTTTGATACATCTACTTAGTTCCTGAATATGTTCTTTTCAGTGCAACATATCGTCTAGACTTATTCCTGTGAACTGTCTCATTACATTTTGAAGATGGATCTTAGAAACGCCAAGCATTTTATGAGTGTTGAGATTTAGGAAAAGATAACGACGTTTGATTACATATCGCCAGCTTGTTAAATAAGATTATCTATTAAGTAAATTCATGTTGCAATGTAACCTGAATTATCTTACGAAAAAATTGTTTCAGACGTCGGGTAAGTCAACACAATAAGATGTTAACTTAAAAACAATGAAAAGTTACAGGCTAATGCCTTTCATTAATGTAACATGTGTGAGAAATATACCACCTAACCAATTTTTGTATTAGACAACTTAAAACAGTCTTATGTTACATATCTATTCCCTACATTTAATATTACTATCTGTATCAAACTGATCATACCTGTAAACTGGCATCAATTCTGTAATTGTTATTTTCAAAATATGCTATTATTACAAACCAATCAGAGAGAGAGGAGGGAGGAAAGGAGGTGACCGTATCATATCCTATTATTTCGTGATACAATCAATTGAACATTGAATAGTTGAGTTCATATTAAAAGTGGAGTAAAATTAGATATCCATGATAAAGCCAAGTCATAATTTTACAGAATTATAAATATGAAATATAAAGAAATAAGTTGTACATTGTATGTTTATAAAATTTGTCGTATGTATTTTTGACAATGTAACTGTTGTATAAAATGAAAGACTGATCATCAGGATAGAGAGACATGTATTATTGAACAAATTAAGAAAACAATATCTCATGAATGACATCACTAGTACACACGTACATGTTAAAATGAACTGCAACCAATATAAAAAATTGGTAGTAACATGATTCTTCAATACAACACAGCATGCAACAATCGAATCACAATTGACGGAGAAGATTTGGAAGATGTGAAAATTTTTTACATATTTGGGCAGTATCATTGATGAACACACTAGACGTGATGCAGATGTGAAGGCGCGGATCGGCGAAGCATGAGTAGCATATTTACAACTGAAGAATATCTGCAATTTAAAACAACTGTCAACCAACACCAAGGTTAGGAATCTCAATACAAATGTCAAGACAGTTCTACTGTATGGAGTGGAAACGTGGAGGATTACGAAAGCCATGATCCAGAAGATACAAGTGCTTATTAACGGCTCTCTACGCAAAGTACTTCGGTTCCGTTGGCCAGACACTATTAGCAACAACTTACTGTGGAGGAGAACAAACCAGATCACAGCGGATGAAGAAATCAGGAAGAAGCGCTGGAAGTGGATAGGACACACATTGAGGAAAGCATCCAATTGCGTCACAAGACGAGCCCTCATATGGGATCCAGAAGGCCAAAGGAGAAGAGGAAGACCAAAGAACACATAACGTCGAGAAATGGAGATAGACATGGGAAAAATGAACAAACATTGGATGGAACTAGAAACGAAGGCCCAGGACAGAGTGGGTTGGAGAATGCTGGTCGGTGGCCTATACCACATTGGGAGTAACAGTCGTAGTAAAAGTAAGTAAACATGATTTGTTTTAAAATATCACAGCTGTACATTTCTATCCACAGATAGTAGATATAGTTTTCTGTTGAACGTCCATTGTTGTTCTAACGATCTAGTCCATTCAGAAAGTTGAACTTAATAATTTCTATCATCAGTTTCGAGACATTCACCTCAATGATGAGTAGTACCATCCTGTAGTGATAGGCAATCAACCAGTGTATTTTAAAACAGTTAAACGATAGAAAACTATTCAATTAAAAGAGAAATATCAGAAAAGATTGATATAAGTAGTAACAGGAAACAAAAAAACTTTTCAAAATGAGCAAATTATATTCATAAACCATAAAGCTACTAATTGAGAAGTTCTGAACAAATCAATTAATCAGAAAACAGTAATAAGCTCTGTTATTCTGTTCATATCTTCCTACAAATCAAATCTATCAATTCACCTTTTACAGTGGTCATTCAAGCTAATTGAATCTATATATTTTCTTAATTCCCATCCTATCCATATTAAATCGTATCTCCCATAGATTAATGTTACTCACTTTGTATTTATTCAACTTTTTATTGAAATCCAACCTCTTTAGTTGAAGAGTAAAGGTAATTAGATTACCCCCAAATACCTTGGTACGGTCGAGGGTAGGGAGAGTTTGCACTACTTCTCAAAATGCTCTCAAATAGCCACACATATACAATCACTGTCAGGGAAGTCTTTCTCGCGTCGAGAGTTTTGTTTACGAAATTGGGAGTACGAAAAGCAAATATCCATCTCTTTTACCAGATTGGTGGATATAAACGACATAAAGGATTCTACTATTATTTTCACAGATTTCCTGCATGATTTGTCATCTTTCACAGAAAACACCTTTGTTCAGTATGCGGATGATCTCACTGTATGTATGAAGATTTCTACCACTTTACATCACCCTGAAATAAATGCGTTTTTATTTCACATTGAACGATGGTCTATTGGTGATGGTTTCACAATCAATCCTTATAAATGCCAAAATGTTGACTTCAGTCTGAGACATAAAAAGAACTCAAACAACCTGTTGGAATCCGTGAAGTTTGCACTATTGGAGATGCTGGAATAAAAAAAGTCAAAAAATTATTTATTTTGGTGAAAGTTTCTCCTCTCTCTCTCTCTCTCTCTCTCTCTCTCTATATATATATATATATATATATATATATATATATATATATATATATATATATATATATATATCATGTCTTAATTAAAATGGACTCAGTATATTAACAATTGGTCAATATATGAGTAGTGACCAGTGTCGTGCATGACTTATTTTTGATCGAATTCTATCAAACAAGCTGCAATGTGAGCACTAATATAAGTGATTTTACCTCGTACGCATTACAATGAGATACAAGTGGTGAGTTGTATCGCTCAATGGTAATGTCACTGACTATGAAGTTGGATGACACGGGAACGAATCGTCTAGGGAGAATCAATCCCTTCAAGATTACTTTTATTATTATTATTAATGGCTTTATTCAGTATTATGTATTTAGTAAAATATAGATTTTTGAACACAAAGTATTTCAAAAAGTTTCTTTTGCAAACTGAAAAGTGGAAAAAGTGATAACTTTTTATATTTTTACACAAATGAAGTAAATACACTATGCGGAATCAAATGTATTGTTTAGAATCTGCACAACGTTTAATTAGAAACATGTTTAAGAATTCAAGTTGTTGACAAGGTCAAGTTTAACATCTTGTTCATCACATAGTATATATACTAGATAGGGTATGGTAGGTCTTTCTTTACGTGCATACAAAGATAATGTGAATCAAATAACGTTGGTATTATAATGATAAATGAGTGGATAAATGAGAACTTAAATAAGTAAACAGGATTTTACTCATATAAAAAAGGTTTCTTAATAAATCAATAATTAAAATAAAAATGACACTGGATACAGAAAATGAATATCAGTATGTGAGAAACACTTACTGTTTCATAAATGAACTCACGATAATCATTGGAACTATAACTATGAAATAAACTTATACTGTTCCAATGAATATCAGAATCATAACAGTAATTATCTCGTCTAATATCATTATTAGTAGTGGTAGTAACCAGAACTACTATAGAAAAGTATATAAGTTGTTTATGAAGTCGTAAGCGGAAAATCAGTATGCAGAAACAAAACAGTAATTATTGATCTCATGTAAATGGATGCTTAATGCATAGTTTACAATTGCATGACTCTATTCTCTGAATAACAAACTAGTGTCTGAATGAAGTTAAAATGAAAAAAGGGATTAGTATCATCAACAGCTGATTAAACCTCCAATATACATAATATATTTGTATTGGTTGTTTGAATCTTTCAATTGATAGTTAGGACCGATACTAAAACAGGTGAAACACTGGGTTTCTTGAGATTCCTTGCAACTTACTGAAGCACGTCGTTCTACTCCTCTCGACCGCGAAGATGATTAAAAACAAAGGTTGTTATTTAATGAAATTGTGCATAGCTTGAGTAAGGAACAAGATACTTCGTGTTCGGAGCGTGCTAACGAGTTGGAAGCAGAAGTTGCTTCTGATTACCGCCGGAAGAACCTACAGCTCACCCGAGTCACTGACAGCAAGAACTCTGGTGTGAGTGAAACAATATGTGAAGGTAATACATACAAGGAATATCAGAAACCGCTACAAGACTGCTGAAAACCTTCGGGATAGATGTGGCACACAAACCTACAAAATCACTACAATCAATCCTATGCAAACCAAAGGATGAAACAACAAAGGAAGACAAATCAAACATCATCTACAAAACAAATTGTACCAACTGCGAAAAACACTACATCGGACAAAGCGGACGCCCCCTTCACCTTCGCCTACACGAACATCAATTAGCAGTCAAACGCCATGATATCTCCTCACTTATATCAATACACGCGCACAAATGCGGACACTCATTCGATTGGAAAAATGTGGATATCTTAGACAGAGGAAACTCCAAAAACACCAGAGAGTTTTTAGAAGCCTGGAACTCAAGTCAATCAGCAATCAACAAGCATATTGAAATCAATCCAATTTACCAACCAATCAGGAAAATCATGCACAAATATAGGAACACAAATCAAACCAATGGGAGACACAACCAAAACAAAGGAGGAAACAATGACAAATTTGAGGTCAATAAGAACCAGTCATCGTCGAGGTGTACGGAGCAAGCTGTGAAACACATATGGAGAAATTCGAACACTCCACTTCTATCTGAAGTTTGTGCTGATGATGTTGTTGAGAAGAACGATGAAAGCTCCACAAGCAAACCATCCAGCTCAGAGAACAAAAACTCCATCAAAATCATCCAACTGAGCTACAAATCTTCTCCATCTAATTGAATAATTGTGTCGTATTCTTAAATAATAAATGAAATGAACAAGTGATTGTAGAACCGAATGAATATTTTTTAAACGTTTCTATGCAATGATATAAACAATATTAAAATGTCAGTTGACGACTGTAGATTAGATTAAATTCAGATCAGTACTAAAATGTAATAGACATCTGATCAGAAACACATACACACATTTATGTATACATACAGAAATAGGATTTCGTTTACTCTCTACAATTTTCCCCTTTACAACTTATCTAAAACTAGATAGACACATTTAATGAAATTGTATAGTAGTATATAAGTAACTTATGTAGGCAACGAATAGAAAACAAATGTCATTTTAAAATATTGCGAATTTTTTGTTTGTTATTTGATTGACAAATAACTACTGAATTACAAAATAAGTAAATCAAATTTTCGTAAGATTATGTAGTACTGAATCTTTTGTTTTCTAAAACATCTCTGCTTTATATAAAAAATGATTTTTGTTACTTTTTAAAACGAAGAGACTGTAAATTAGGAATAGTCAGTTTGGATTCCGGCTCAGTGGTTCAGTAGGTTAAGCGTTCGCGCGCGAGACCGAAGGCCCTGGGTTCGAATCCTGCGAGCGGGATCGTGGATACGCACTGCTGAGGATTCCCACAATAGGACGGAACGGCCGTCCAGTGCTTCCAGGTTTTCAACTGTGGTGGTCTAAAATCAATCGGTTCATGATCTCAATTAAAAACTTAATAATCTTCACAGCCCTTATACTAATAGTCAGTTTGTGTTGTTACTTTAACAAATGGATACTGAATAAATCCAGATCTGAATGCAAAGCAACGGAAAATAATAAACCGTTAATAATACATCGATAACCATTGGACAAGATAGTGAATACCTGAACCTAATAACTTGGTGGACGGATATGTTGTCAATGGAGACGATAACCACACGGTCCAAGTTTTAATGAGAATCTTAATACGGTGATATATACGTATCGAGCTGATGAGTTCAAAATAAGGCGGAAAGAACATCCGGTAGCTCGCTGAAAGTTATATTTTAGCTCTACTATTAACAAATGGTTGTTGAATTGAAAAATAGACTAGTCTACCTGCTTATTCTTTTATTCAGTCATTCAGTTATTTATTGTCATCGTGTCATGTCCTAAGCCCCGTCAATTATCATGTGACTAAAGCACTACTTCGATCACCGACTTACATGATCTTGGCACTACGCAAAACGAGCATCCTAGAGTCAACTTTGAATCCTTATTGGTTCCTGTTGTTTCGCCCTGCTCATTGAGTCCAGAACCCAATCCCAGCTTTCACTGAATGAATCATGTATTTCAGACATACGTAGTTTATAAACAAGCAAATCAAACCGCATCATACCATAAAATGGAAAATAACAATTATATATGATCAAGCCAAAATTGGCTGTGAGTGTGAGAGACCATAACTATTAGATTGGGGATAACTTAAGAATAGTAAATAGTATAACGGCATTAAATAGCTTATAATATGATATATAAATATAATTTAGTTACTTAATAGTTATACAGTAAGAATATATGTATAATAACAAACCATTAATAGTCCTTCGAAGATACCCATAAGTTAATCTTCTTCGGATACAGCACAATATATAGGATGAAACACAAATGTATCGATTTAAGTGGCCAACTTTCTATTAACAAGATTTGTCCCCATAAAACCGTTCACATTATCTACCATTTCGTTATTTAGTTAGATTTGTACTGATCTCAGGCTAGAGATTGTTAAATCTGGAAGCAGCAATAAATGCTTTTTTGTTTGTTGTTTTAATCACAAAAGCATTTCACATACACTTAAATAATATTGCGCGAATAAGAACAATGTCAAGGACGTGACTAGGTGGGTTATATCAATTCTGAACTATGAAAACTATTCTAAACAACCATAGGCTGCCAGCACCCCAGTGGGTCTCGGCTAGGTTGGATAAAATATCCTACACAGTTCCGGAAATTAAAATCCTATCCTACAGATGAAACCCATATTTTCATCTTGGCGGAACTAGCATTTGTCCAACTTACTACTACAACTTAGGTCAACTACATCTGCACCTTTAGCTTATGCAAAAATAAAGAGTATTAGAACGAACGATCGTCTCTGGCATTTTCTTCATTAAGCTCTGCAGTTAAAAATATAGGTCGTCAGTCAGTAACCGCGTAGAACTTCGTACGTACGTACATCAATTCGAGTTGCCATACCACATTAGCACAGAGATGCAGTTATCGATTCAAATCCCGTAGTGGTAGAGGTACTAAAAATCCAGGACGACTACTTTTCGTTATAAAGCAAAATTCTGAAGTTGAACTTATCCATGTTATGATTTGACAATGGTGCACGTCACCTCGATCAAGTCATAAATAGTACGGATTACCGACAAAAAACTAATATTACTGATATTATTTAGAAAACTCTATACATAAAGGTTAAGTATAATTATATGTCTTAATTAAGGTGATGAGTTCTCATAAATAAGATAAAATTGTATGCAAAATCAATTTGACGCAAAATAAGAATTGTTGTGTCGCAGTTGCCATCACAGTAAAAATATTTCTTATAATGATGACATAAAAAAATATTACTGTTAATATCATTAGGAGCAACGTGTAAAATAAGAAAGATGGATGTATGATTAACAATAATAAACGTCTTGGAAATGAGTGTAAATCAAAATGAAGAGGGATGGATACAATTACATCTAAGAATGAAACGATTTTAATTTTCGGCAAGGTAAACAAGAAGGATGTATTTATTGCCTTTGTATACATAAGATAGGTTTCTTTGAAGTGATTTCTATTGCTTCAGCTATAAATAATAAGCGTTATCTTGGGTCCTTTGGTAGAAAATCAGGATATCAATATACAACTGTGAAGGCATGTTCGATTTTTATATTATGACCATAGTCAATTAAGTGGCAAAGAATGAAACTACTGAAATTTCATATTGCGACTTAATAAACATACCAGTACGAGCTCACAAGTGTGTAAGGATAATGACTTTTGAGTACAGCCGGCAGCAGTCAATAAATTGATTAACACATATAGATGATTTTAATAGTTGAGATCACGTATCAACTGAAGATAGAACACCATGGAAAGTCTGGAAGCACTGGATGGCTGTTTCGTCCTATTATGAGACTCCGGCAGTGCGCACTCACGATCCCGCCTCACGAGATTCGAACTCAGGACCTATCAGTCTCGCGCGCGAGCGCTTAACCACTAGACTACTAAGCCAGCATCCAATGGTGTTAATGCTTAACTTCAACTAATCCACGAAATTGAATGACACAGTCACTATTGTCTTCAGTGATTCACTATCTCACAACAGACCCGGTTGAACTCCACCTGTCACTGGGGAACCGCGGATGCGCACTGCTGAGGAGTCCCATAATAGGACGAAACGGCCGTTCAGTGCATTCAGGTGTTCCATGGTAGTTTATCTTTAATTGACTCATGATCTCAACTGTTAGAATTACTATAATATCCACAAAGACCCTTCTGACATACAGATGACCTGATAATGAGTACATTATCCCGATTTGCTGCGTTAGTATTTGCTTGTTCGACAAATTTACGTATCTGCTATTTTGACTTGGTGGTCAGGCTTGCTTATCGTGATGACTCAACCGAGCTCTGTCGGCTGTAACACATCTCCACTTAGATCCTTCCATCAAAAGCAGGTCGATTAGAGAACCGTAAAACTGAAATCAACAACTTAAGGCCCAAGGAAAAATCATACTGTTGACTGTAGAGTGATGTGAGAACAGTAAGTTGTTTTCCACAAACAACCAGCATCTTGAGCGATGATGCTTTCTCTCCACGGAGGAAAAGGGCTTAAAAGTATCCACCAAAAATCTTCACACTTCACATTAACTCACAGAATTGTCTCAGGAGATAAAGCCTCTCGAAATGCGGAACTAACAAATCGAAAACATTCCACCAGTTGTCTCAGGGGCTCTGTGGTCACATTCCCATGTCACTAGGACCACCATGAATTCGGATTTTTTCAGGTCCTTCAAAAGAAATATCTTTCAACAGTGTGGACATTTGAGAAGTGACAACCGCTCTCATACTTCTAATAGCACTCAAGATCATCTTGTTAATAATCGAATCACTCCCTCACTTCTTAATAATTCTTTTACCTTCTTGACTAAGCCTTCACGTATATCTTTAATGTTTTACTCTTGTGTCAGATAGGATAACAGGTGTTTTTGGCTAGAACTCTAGGCTCTTGCACCATTTATGCACACTACTTCTCCGAAACGTGTATTCAGGATCCGAATACAGGGATTCATTAATATCTTTCTGGTAAGAGACGACTAAACTGGGAGGTAAAAAATTTCAAAGCCATGTTTCTACAATACTTTTCATATATATTGATTACATGTTTAACAATTATTTTGGAGAAAAAGCACAGCAAGAGAAGTGGAGAAAATCCCAGAAGATCCTCTTCAGGATAACTGGTTCTGATACTTAATTTTCATCGTCTTAAGACCGGTAGGGTACACGGAATTGTTCTACTCAATAGAGATAAAATCATCTATGAAGTCAGGGTTGGCAGTGTAAAATGGATAAAGCACATCAGCCACATACAACCATCTAGATGCGTAGAAGGGGACGAAAACAATACAAAAATCCATAAGCCTCTGAATACTGGATAAAAGAATTAAGGCACCCTTAAGAAGATCACAACAGATTAAAAAAAGCAACGAGGATATAAATGAACTCTAATGACATGTCTTACCAATGATTTTCAAAAAAGGATGGTATTGCAAGAGGTATAAACTTTCGTTGCTATTTTTCTACTATATTATTCATTTATATATTGGCCACATGAATATCAAGTATTTTGATCTTATTATTTTCGTGTTACCCTAGTTATAAAGTTTTACTTGAACCATAAATTGTTGCCGTAGAATTTTTCACTCATAAATTAGAACCCGTCTCTTGTATACACAGTACTCCGTTTTTCCGATCATTAATGTTGCCATTCTATGTTAACACTGTTGCTCGATTTCTCTGCTGCGTAGTCCGGCCTCGTAGGTATATAAATGAATGTCTGAAATATAGTAAAGATATTGGACTAGTGAGCGTTGGTTTGCATTCCTCCACTCTGTTCGGGGTAAGTTAGTATTGGGCTAACCTTGAGAGATAAAGTATCAGTCTTCCTTGTCCTTATTGCGTATTGGTTACTTAAGGTATTTAACTGGATCAATTTTATGTTGGGAAGGTGTGACGTCGTGGAAACGATTATACTGCTCCATCCAAGTTTCTCTTTCAAACACATTCCTTTTAACTGAAGTATCTAATCTTTTAAAAAGAACTTTTCCACCATCTCAAAGAGATGAACGTCAAGCGATACGTCATCTTATTATCCTCTTCTTCTCTACATGTAAAACTAACAAATGAATATGGATTATGAAATGATTCTAAGAATTCTTGCAGGTTGAACATTTGATTTATGTATTCACTCTTAGGGAATAAGTTGTATAGTCTGTCAGCATAAAATTTAAGAATGACATTTGAGGCATAGTTTAACAATAATTACTGCGTAAATTACGTCGACAAAACTAACTTACTTGGTTGCCACCTTTTTAATAACATAGCCACTCTTTTACTATAACAAATTTGCGATTTCTCTTCTTTGGCATTGGGGCATATGAACAATAAAGAACAGCAGCATTTTCAATCCGCAATAACAGAATAGTGAAGTGAGTATTTTATGTGACAAGAGCTGTGATAATGTACATTATTAGTATCCTCAGTATAATTACTGGAATGAAAATACCTAGATAAAATGTCTGTTCAATATTATATCAGCCATTTTTCAGTGGATGTCATTATGTAATGAACACTGAATTGAAATACAAAATTATTACACATGTCTATAATAATTGAGTGCTGGCTGACATAAAGGTGTGTTAGTATATGCATGTGCAGCACGAATAAATTAAAATCATAGCCACCAGGACAAACTGATTTGAGACTTGGTGAATAACTGCGCATTACACTATTTATCTTAAAGAACTTAAGAAAATCTAAAGCATCCACTTAAGCTGTTATTTTTCTCCAGTGTTACACAAATCATTTTGTTTTCTGAGGAAAGTGTAGTTTTTTTAGGAAGATAGCTTAAAAGATATTGTTCATAGTTGGCATGATAAGCATTCAAATATGGCCAGGACTATGACTATTGTTGTAATTGACATAACATGTTATTTAGCAAATGAAATACTTTTTAATATTTACCATCTTAAAGATTTATGGGTAATCAAGATTCTGGTAATATATTTTTCCGACAATTAATTTATATAAATAATATTAGGTACCATTGTGGTGTGGGTTACTTATATCCACACAAGTAGTATATAACGGTGGTCAGGCATAGAATTTATTTCAGTAGAAAGTCGATAAGGAAAGAACGGGAACAGAAGGCAATTGGTATGAAAACGCATGAACAATAAAATCTGAGGCAATAGATTGATGTTTGCAACAGGAACACTCACGTTTGGTATGATGGAGTAATATTATGCAAATTAACGGTTTACTATATGGTTCGCAGATTTTATTTAAATGCCCTGTAATTTCCTACCAAATACATTCGATTGTCCCCACTTGTGTTCTGTTCAGTACACCATAAGGTTACAAATAACACAATCTAACTTTAAGAAGTCTACAAGTAACTTGTAATTTCTGAAACTCATTAATTTTGAACTCATTCATTGAATTTAAAATAATAATTTCCCATATCCTTGAGTATATATGTGCTAATGTAAACAATTTATACGTGTTAAATAGAAACTGGTATGTTGATTCAACTTTTCATTATGCTGTATATATTATCAACTTATTCGATAGCGGTATTAAGTAATTCGTCATAACTTAACACTGGATGGGTACCAGTAGAAAATTTCGACTGATCTAGTGAATAAATCAATAACCAAATTAAACTTTACCAGTTTATTTGGATTGAAATAAATATGGAAAGATTATGATGCAAGGAGCATATACTAAATTGTGTATATAGGTAGATATTTTATGCGTTTGTATCACATAGTAGCGTTTCGAGATACGAATACATGGAATAGTGAAAAAAGGGCTACTTTACAAAGAATAAACATCGACCAATCAACTCATAACCAAGTTATCTGCTTAAAAAATTGAATCCATTAGGTACTGGAATGAAGAACAATCAGCTACCAGTATTTGACCACACACGTCTTAGAAATATTGCTCGCATCCGCTAGGATCACCGGGTAAGTAATAGTGCGGTTATATTCAGGGTATTAGGGTATGACGGTGAATCAGTTGATGAGGTTGTGAATCTTCATCGACTGAGATGGTTGAGGCACGTGTTCTTACGTATGCCTGAACACCGATTACCACGACGTGCAATGCTAACCGGTGTTCGGGATGGTAGGAAGGAAGTAAGGGGCGGCCAAACCAAAACGTGGCTTGAAGTGCTTGAAGTCACTAACTTCTAGTCTGAGCCATGTTGGTAGATGCAGACTACTTGGTAGGGGTCCACGTAACTGTCGTAAACAATGGTTGGAGAGTCTTGGTGACATGGCTCAGAATCGATCACAACGGTGTAGGTGTATGCACTCTCTGTCTTCCTTTAAACTATGAGATTAAAATCGCCTCATATCTTTCCTTCTACTAATTCTTTCTTCCTTATATGCAGTCTTTCTTTTTTATATTAACTACTTCTATGAATTCGGTATTCATCTTGTTGTGCTAAAGATGTATAGCAACTTGAACCGACGCATATATGTGCCTGGTCCTACGTTGTAGCTAACCGACTGACTGTCACTCTCTTAACAATAGTATTATAACTTCTTGTTCTACTATGAGCTTTATAAGCATTCGTCAATCAACTAGGCACTTTCAATTTGACTATACCATCATTGTTAGTTGTAGTCAGTTTAGTGGTTTTGTTTAATTAGTCATGTGATTTAGATCATAATTCGAGAAACTTGTTCAACACCTCGATTAACACATCTAGAGTACTGTAGCGTACTATCAGGGTTTTTTACCATTAAAATGTATAATTATTATCTTGGATATGGATGGCATTATTAATAATTATTCATCACAGATTTTGTAATTTCAATCAAATTCATAATTTTGTTTGCCTTGATCTCGACGATTTGTTTATGTTGAATGTAGTTTGTTTAAACATGTCCTCTCTCGATTTTTGCTTTCTCTAAATAGTGTATATAGAAGAACCAGTGAAAAAAGTTACTTTCCGAAAAGAAGTTACATTGAAATTAGACATTAAAAGAGCTGAATAACAACTCAGTGGTCCGAGGGTTTAGAGTTTCTGCACCAGACAGAAGGTTCTGGATTCAATCCCCAGCTATGTTGAATAAGGATCGCTAAAGAGTCTTACACTAGGACAAAAGGGCCATCCTGTGCCTCCAGATTACCGATGGTGGTCTAGTTACGATTAGTTCGTGATTTCAACTTTGAAAAATCGGCATCAGTATCACAACACCAACATTTATATGGTTGAATTTCATTGAAATCCTGAATTGATCTAAGTTAAACTACCACTCATCACTATTTGATCAGATTGCGTGTTTATATAAATTTTTGAAAGTAAGATAAAGATTAATACCAAACCATGATATCAGCACATGCCCAAACTATGCATCACACAATTTGAAATCGCAAGATTAGCTTATGGTGCCAATATGAATCAATTAGTCTCCATTGCAAAATGACAAATCACAAGCACTTAAATTTTGAAATTATTTCAAGTAAAACATAAAGTCTCAATACTAACGGTCCACAGTACAATTCCAAACTCCGTTGAATCAAAACATCTACTCTCTCCTACTTTACAAGCATGTGACAGTTTTGCAATACATTTATTGCACTTCGTTTAATCTGACATAAGTAGTTTAATGTCACTGATTTGTCCATTCCAGTTGTTTTCAAAAATACAAAATTCATATATGGCTATTCCAAAACATCTCACTTCACAAAGACTTATATTACTAAAAAGAAAGTTCAGAGAATTTGAACACAGTTTTACCCTTTCGAATGAACAAAAGACACAAAACGATTTGAAAGAATGTGACCGAAGAAAAACATTGATAAGAATTAAGAAAATCAGGAAAATGGGATTACAAATGACTGACAAATCATTAAATATAAACATGATTTCCGTCGAAACACACTCCTTTTGAAACAAAAAATCTGGAACCTCAAAATGGAGATGATTGATTGTGTCCATTTACAAACACACGTTAATAAATTTAAACCACAGTTGTTTCAATGTTCTTTTTTTGTTAAGACCTCTATTTTTAGTATTCTTATATAATTTTTATGCTTACCACTTTACTCTTACGTAACCACGATTATTATCTGACACGTAACAAACGTTTTGCTAATTCTCTTATTATTACTTCTGTATCGAGAAGAAATATGTCCAATCGCTTCTCTTACCCTATTCAAACCAGTAAATCAATACTAAGCTTAATTATATAATGAACTAATTTGGTTAATGCCAATAAAACCTTTCATAGTCAAACATTCTTGTTATTTTTATCTACATTTTTGTATAATACTACCATTATAATTACAATATTACTATTATTAAAATTATTATTATACTTATCAATAATATTATTATTGATTTAGACTCACTATTAGTCTGCCAAAAGCATAATTAATCGGCTTAGTACTGACCACACATTACTCACAACGGTCTTCCACCAAACAGTGGATCGGATTAGTAATTAAATTATTATTTCTCTCACCCTATCTCACCCGTATTTTATCTGATCATTATTCTCACTGTTTCATATAAGGTATAAGCTTATTCAGGTTAACACTGAACACTAGTCATTTTGACATCAACAGTATGGGGTTCCGGAGTTTGTTAAATTTTATAAGAATCTCAGTTGGAAAATCACTGAAAACCTGGAAGCAATGAACGACTAGTTCGTGTCAGTATGGTACTGCTTAGAAATGAGGGTCCATTATCCCGTATACAGAAATCTAGCCAAGGACCTTTAGGCTCGTACATGAACACTTAACCTCTTGATCAATGAGCCAGGGCCCCGTGCTCTAAATGTCTAACTTCAATCAGTCCCTGATCTTGCACAACCCTTCATCCATTACCTGAGGTAGAGAACTGTCTCACACTCAACACGAATTTGACTCCACTGGTCACGACTTCTTATTAGAACTCAAGGAGTTACATCTTGAACCTAATCACCAGTGAGCAAATGATTGTTATCAGTATGGGGGATTTGTGGAGATTTTAGTATTTTCACAACTGAAGTCACGAGTCGATCTAAACTAGAGCCCCACTGAAAACCCGGAAGCACTAGACGGCTTAATGGTCTAGAGGTTAAGCGTTCGCGCGCGAGACCGAAGGCTGTGGGTTTGCGTCTGGCGTGCAGGCTGATGGATTCACACTGTTGAGGAGTCCTATACTAGGAAGAAATGACATTCTAATGTATCTATGTTTTCACTGGCGGTCCAGCTTAGATTGACTCGTTATTTCAATTATGAAAGTACAAACTCCACAATTCCGCATACTGAAAAATGGTTATGACACAATAAAACTTACATCACCAGAAGCTAAAGCTT